GCTTCATCAGGCGTCATGGGTTCTCTCCGGCCTCACGTCTGGCCGTCCTCACGTTTGATCACTCCGCTCCTGGCTCAGTTCTCTGGGTGGGCGCGGTGCCTCGCGGCTCTGCTTCCTCGCTCGGGGTCGCTTCTCTGGTTCCTCACTTGGGGCCTTCATCGCGCTTCAGCGCTCTTCATCACTGCTCGCCTTCCTCACGTCTCTCCTTCCTCGCTTCTCTCTCTCTCCTTCATCACTTCCTCACTTCTCTCTCTCTCCTTCATCACTTCTCTCCTTCATCACTCTTCCTCACTTCTCTCCTTCATCACTTCTCTCCTTCATCACTTCTCTCCTTCATCACTTCTCTCCTTCATCACTTCTCTCCTTCCTCACTCTTCCTCACTTCTCTCCTTCCTCACTTCTCTCTCTCTCCTTCATCACTTTTCCTCACTTCTCTCCTTCATCACTTCTCTCCGTCCTCACTTCTCTCCTTCATCACTTCTCTCCGTCCTCACTTCTCTCCTTCCTCACTTCTCTCCTTCCTCACTTCTCTCCTTCCTCACTCTTCCTTACTTCTCTCCTTCCTCACTTCTCTCTCTCTCCTTCATCACTCTTCCTTACTTCTCTCCTTCATCACTTCTCTCCTTCATCACTTCTCTCTCTCTCCTTCATCACTTCTCTCCTTCATCACTCGTCCTCACTTCTCTCCTTCATCACTTCTCTCCTTCATCACTTCTCTCCTTCATCACTTCTCTCGTTCCTCACTCGTCCTGACTTCTCTCCTTCCTCACTTCTCTCTCTCTCCTTCATCACTCTTCCTCACTTCTCTCCTTCATCACTTCTCTCCGTCCTCACTTCTCTCCTTCCTCACTTCTCTCCTTCCTCACTTCTCTCCTTCCTCACTCTTCCTTACTTCTCTCCTTCCTCACTTCTCTCTCTCTCCTTCATCACTCTTCCTTACTTCTCTCCTTCATCACTTCTCTCCTTCATCACTTCTCTCTCTCTCCTTCCTCACTTCTCTCCGTCCTCACTTGGTGTCCCTATGAACCAATCAGGCGTCTCCTCTCTGTCTCTCGTCCAGCACAAGCACTTCACAGAGGACATTCAGACGAGACAGTACAGAGCTCTGGAGGTTCTGATTGGAGCAGAGTACGGACCACCTGCTGACATCTGGAGCACCGCCTGCATGGTACACACACACACACACACACACACACACACACACACACACACACACACACACCCCGTGGTTGTGCTTCGTGGCGTGAGTCGGGCTGGTTGGTGTTTCAGGCCTTTGAGCTGGCGACAGGAGATTACCTCTTTGAGCCTCACTCAGGAGAAGACTACAGCAGAGACGAAGGTACACACACATCAGCACGCGGCAAACACCACTGGCGTGTCCCACGTGAACACCAGTTCTTCTGTGTTCAGATCACATCGCTCACGTCATCGAGCTGCTCGGGACGCTTCCTCTGCCCTTCGCCTTGTCTGGCAGGTACTCCAGAGAGTACTTCAACAGGAGAGGTGAGACATCCGTGTGTCTGTGTCCCCCACTGCCCCGCGTGTCCCCGTCTCACGGTGCGTCCCCGTCTCAGGCGAGCTGCGTCACATCTCCAGCCTGAAGCCGTGGGCTCTGTTCGAGGTGCTGTTGGAGAAGTACGAGTGGCCTCTGGAGCAGGCGGCTCAGTTCAGTGACTTCCTGCTGACCATGTTGGAGCTGCAGCCTGAACGCAGGGCGACGGCGGCGCAGTGCCTGCAGCACGCATGGCTGCTCACATAGACGCAGGCTGCACACGTGGACACGGAGGGAAGTTACCAAGCCGACTTCCATTGAAATGTTTTATGTTTGACTGCTGTTCAATTGTTACACGCTCCCTGTCAGTCATAAACGGTGCCTTGAAATGACCCGCCCCTCTTCCCTGTCGATGACATCACCTGACAAGTACTATTATGTTTGTTCGTGTGGGATTTGATGGATAATGTGCTTCTCATCAGCTTAGCTCTGCGGATACGGCGAGTAAAGCAATGACATCACACTCCACCGAGAACCCAACAGCTTTAATATAAAAACATCCAAACAGTTCATTCTTCACTTCCTCTTACGCACCACCGTCCAGCCTGGTTCTCCGTCAGCAGGTGGAGGAGGAGGAGGCTCTGTGCTGCTGGCCGATGGAGCAGGGTCACACTCCATCACCTGAACACACGTGAAGAAAAGGACGAGGTGGAAGTACAAATGTCTGACATGGAGCCACTAACAAGTACAACATGGTGGGGGTCAGGTGACACATACCTGCGTTTCATCACTGCTGTCTTCATCGGATTGTGTGGGCGGAGCTGTAACCTTTGCCCTCTGACCTTTCTTATGAGTGAGAGTGTTGAGGGTGTGTTTGAGCTGCTGCAGCGCCCCCTGCTGCCACTGACTGAACGCCTGTATCAGACTGTCACACACCTGAAAATACAGGAGATCAGGTTCAACATCAAAGATCTACACCCTTCAGGAGTTAAAGCTGCATAGTGACCAGCAGGGGGCGACTCCTCTGCTCCCATAGACGTCTATGAGGAAATGACTCTACTTCTCTGTAGTGACCAGCAGGGGGCGACTCCTCTGCTCCCATAGACGTCTATGAGGAAATGACTCTACTTCTCTGTAGTGACCAGCAGGGGGCGACTCCTCTGCTCCCATAGACGTCTATGAGGAAATGACTACTTCTCTGTAGTGACCAGCAGGGGGCGACTCCTCTGCTCCCATAGACGTCTATGAGGAAATGACTCTACTTCTCTCTTGATTTATTCCCTCAGTAAACATTGTAAACATGAGTTTATGTCTCAGTCTCTAGTTTCAAGTCTTCAACACAACATGATGCTCATTTAGTGAATTAGAAATGTATTCCCATAATATGTCGGACATACAAGGAATTTGACTTGGCGTTTGGTGCGTAACAGCAGTAAATAAAATAAAATATAATGCTATGGGTTAGTTTAAAAATGAAGGAATAAAAGTTCAAGTTTAAAAATATTTAAAAATTAAAAATAAAGTGGAACAGAACGTGACGTGTGGAATGTCCGTCAGTGGGGCGGGGCCTGACGCTGATTAAACACATGACTAGGTGATGTGATGCCATTGTTCGTTATTATGGTGGCATTAGGTTTACCTGAGGTAAACTCCCATCATCCACCACGGTGTCAAACTCCTGATCCATCAGCTGAGCAACGAAGTCCTCGACCTCGCTCTGCTGCAGGTCAGCTGACCCCAGGGACACACCATCAGAGTCATTAGGTACTTTTAATTAACCGCTGTTGACGGGTTCCCATGGTTACTTACCATTGTCATGAAAGTACTGCTGGACGACATCCACCATCCAATCAGCTTTCTGCTGGCCGTACACGCCCCCAAAGCCGTTGTCCACGGCGATCTGAGGACAGACATTCTGAATCGATAGTGGATCACACAGACTGGTTCTGAGGCCTTCCTCACTGGCACTGGCTCCCTGCATCTACTGCGACCTTCTGACCCCTCTGCAGGGGCAACAAACCAGCCTGTCCCAGCCCAGCTGTGACTGGGGGTCCAGGGTGGTCCCAGTGTGGAGATATAACCCCTCCAGCTGGTCCTGGGTCTCACCAGGGACACCTCCCCCTCTCTTCAAGGGAGACGCCCGTTTTGGCTGCTTGTACCTTTGACCCGTCCTTCGTCCAGGCGAGCGTGGGAACATAATTAGGAATTCAGGCGAGGAGTTCGTTGTTTAATCAACATTCATCCTTCTCAATGGGCTCCAGGAAGTGGGAGATGTGAGGTGTAGTGAACGGGACGTGAGACCTCCACACCGGGCGGTCAGCTCCCCTCAGCCCACCGAGAGCAGGCTGGCTCAGAAGGTGGATGTTAAAAGTTCATCGTGTCATTGCAGTGTTTCCCCGCCATTATAACGGGCGCTCCCTGGGTTGTTGAAGACGACCTGGAGAGTCACGTCTTTGTGTGTGGAAGTCGTTGGTGGGTTTATTTATTGATCATAGGCTTTATTGCCCCGTGCATCCACACTGCTGCTTTTCATCACATTTGTCCCGTATTTTCCTCCACGACTTTGTTCCCCTCGTTGGTGGAGATCTCCCTCCATGAATCAGAGGCCATCCGCCGTCCTCATAGTCCGCCAATGACGGCTTGTACAAGCGCTCATATTTAAAAGCTCTTCAACATTCTTCCTTTTAATAACGGCCGTATTGTGCTGTGAAAACGGAGACGTGAGACTCCGTAAAGGACGTAGTCAGAGACCAATCACAGCCTGGTGCTGCAGGACGCTGCAAAGCTTTACACGCTAGTCGAGAGAAATGGGGACACGCACGCAAGGAGGTGTGAAGGGACACGCAGGAGACACGCAGGGGACACGCAAGGGACCCGCGAGAGACACGCAGGGGTCGGGGGGTGGGGGACACGCAGGGGTCGGGGGGGCGCTCGGTCGCTGCCTCCATCATTTCTTCAAATCGACACTCCGTCAAGAGTCCCGCCCTCCTCTGACTGAATGGCCGTGAACCTGAAATAAACCAATCAAACCAGCGAAGGCAGCGAGTATCAACCAATCAGGGGACGAATGAGATGCTGCATTGACGACAGCTCGGAAAATACGGGACAAACCGCGTCCCGAATTGATTCAAAGCGAGACGCGTTATTTTATTTTCAAATACGGGACGATTCCGTATTTTAAGGGACGGGTGGCAACGCTAGAACGTCCGCACTGACACGTGAAACGTGTGCGGCTCCCAGCAGCACAGAGCGCCGCCAGAATGAATTCAGTTCCACGGAGCTCAACAATCAACGCTGAGAAATGATGAAAATGCAACAAAACTACGTCATCACAGCGCGTCAAGATCATTAGCCTGTTAGCATCATCGCGTTGTTAACTGTCGCTCAGGTGTGCGCGCTGCATCCTGGCGGGTGCGTCTCGGGTCATATTTACCTGTAGAACAGGCCAAGAGTGAAGAACCGCTCTCACCACCTCCGCCAGGAGCTCATGCGAAGCTGCGGGGGCCGCCATGTTGGATCTGAGCGGAGAGACCTTCTGAATCAGACAGAAACAACCGATCCGGATCAGACAGAAACAGCCGATCCGGATCAGACAGAAACAATCGACCCCCAAACAGTAGCGAGGCTGCATCAGCTCGTGTAGTCGTCCTCAGCTTTACCTCCACGGCTCCCGTTGCCTAGAAACCTGCTGCGCTTGACAGAAAAAGCCCTAAAGGCCAAAACAAAATGTACAGACAAAGAAGATAATCTTCATTTAATTTAGGAATTTTTTTTTACGATATATATTTCAGCCTGAGAGAAGAACTTTCAGCTAAAAGCAATAATTCAATCTCAAGGCAGAGAAGATTCCATCAATACTATTCAATCAGAAACCCCAGCAAGGATCCATCAGACCCCAACAGCACTAACATCCAACATCTGTAAAGTAATGGAACGAACAATGGTTCACATGTGAGCTTGAGAAAAGGGGAACGGTGGCACGTTGTCAGAGTGGATTTAACACCATGGACTGAAGTTAGAAGGGTTCAGGCAAACAAAGCAGTGTGCTTTTACATACATGCTTTCTAATTAAGCTGCATAAACTGGGAATCGGTGGGAGAATGTACAACTGGATACAATATTTTTAGTTTGGAAGGTGGGATTGAGTCAGACATGTAAGAACTATACATAGTTCTGGGTCTCCAGTGCGGCCC